ATCAAGTATAAACAAATTATACAATTTTTATTTTACAGCTTGATTTTCAGCAGAGTGAGTTTCTAAATTAAAAAAATCTATTGCCACATCATCAAGATCATTCTGCTCTTCTTTAAACTCTTCATCAATTAACAATTCTTCCTATTCATTAGTTACAGCATTTCAATTGGCTTTTGAAGAAATATTTTTATTTACATCATCATCATTAATTTGTACAAGAGAGTTTCAGAATTAAAATGCAAAAACCAAATTTTAATAAATATATTAATTTTCAAATAAGTGATGTATTGATGGCTATAATTTATTTATTAGTATCAAAATTTGGCTTGGTTCTCTTACTTAATTAGCTCAACTTTTTTTATACAAGTTTTATCATAGCAAGCTTTAGTATAATAAACTATAAATCCTTAAATATTATATTAGTTTTGTGTAAAAGACATGATAGGCATCTAAAAAAAATAATATATAGATCTTTTTTTTCTTTATTCTTTTGTAAAATGAAAAATGATGCAAATATAATATAGTTTAATTGGTTGATTGTTACATGTTGTGTTAATAGCCAACTATATGATCAACTAATAATAAAAAGATTATTCTATATATCTAGTTCTATGTCCATTGCTTTGATCGAACAATTCAGACACTGAATATTAGACAGATTTTCATTGTCCAAATTCTATTTGTGCCAACCCTGTTGGAAATTATATCTTTATTACAGTAACTGACTTTGTTAGTCAGTTAAATTAGATGTATCTGTAACCTTTAATCATACCATCTTGAATAGAAATTTAAGGCATTTATGCAAAATGTAATATTGCATATACATAAAGAAATGTTTAACTAATATTGCATAAGACTTTAGTGCAAACTCATGATAAGACCACCAGATGCAGAAAGTGAAGAAATTGTAAATTTAGAAGCCTACTTAGAAATCTTAAATAAGATAGTAATACAAATTTTCAATAATACTGTTAGACCAATAGAAGCTCATGAAACATCTTCAGTAAAAATAGATGAATAAACTGAATAATAAGATGTGTAAAGAAGCATATGACCAACCAGACTACTAAAATCTTCAGAAGAAAAAGATACTAAGATATACTATACTGAATCATCTAAATTGGAAGTTTGGAAAGTCTTGTTAGTTCTTAGCTATAGTTAGTAGAATATGATAGAAAAAACATCAGAAAAATAGGTACTGGAATTTGAGTAAACCTTATAAGAGTATAATAGTTTAATAGTTAACTTTGACTGCAAGTAATAGTTTAGACCAAAGTGATATTAGGTTAGCTGTAAATATAAGATACAGAAAGCTCTAATGAATTTAGTACAAAATTAAATATAACTTAGTAACTATAACATATTTTTAATAGTTTACTAAAGTTATTAGTAAGATATAGTAGATATAGAATCAGAGTGTTTAAATAGAAGATTTACAGATAGGTCTTAGATATAGCAACTATTGTATAGCACTGCATATAGTACCTCTAGTCTTTTACAAGAAATCTAAGATTAATTAAATAGAACTTCTGAAGGTACTGTATGAAGAGAGGAGTATTATACAAGAAGGTATAGTAAAAAGAGTATTAATTATGCAAGTGATCATAAACATAATCATTGATTCGAATCATATAAACATAATATAGTAATGATATAAAAATAGTAAAAGTGAGTTTATTTTAATAAATTGCATATAAATAAATAAAAAGAATTCAATCATAAAATAATTAAACTTTTTCATTTAATTTTAAATAAATAAAAATAGTTTTATGAGCAAACAAAAGAAAAATCATGCAATATTTACAGAAAAAACATGCTAATAGTGAAATGCATAAGAAAAAATTGCTATTATTTTATATTATAAAAGTAGTTATAGCAAAAGTCAAACAGCAGCTAAATTTAATATTGAAATGAAACAACTTCAAGACTAAATATCTAAAAAATCATTACTTTTAAAGATGCAACCAGGTTTAAAGTATTTAAATAAAGATTCTTCTCCAAAATATTCTGAATTGGAAGCTTTTTTAGTTAAGTGAATTAAAAAAAGATAGAAAAATCAACAAGCTGTTTCACAGTACATAAACCAAATGAAAGCTAAAACACTTTTACAACAAAATAAATGGCAACTTACATGTCCTGGTATTTAGTTATTTGGTTTTAGTAATAAATGGTTAGACAGTCTAATGTGTTATAACAATTTGAGTAATTGTTACCTCACCATAATTTCACAATGCTTATCAGATGATTTAGTTAAACAATAACATTCATTTTTAGCATTTGTTATGTATAGGTATATCCAATATAATTATTCTCTTGCATTGATAAGTAATATAAATGAAACACCTATGATATTTGATTTATTATATAATACTACAATAGATGTATCTGATGTATAATCAATTAATATTCACACTACTGGTTATGAAAAAAGTAATTTTACAATAGTTTTAGCCTATATGTCAGATGGTACAAAACTTTCTTCTCTTGTAATCTTTAAACTCAAAAATATTCTATAAGGAAATTTTCTACAAAAAGTTATTGTTCAGACTAATCCTTCTGAATAGATAAATGAAACTGAGATGATTTACTAGATTAACAATATTTGAACAAAGCATGCAATATTTTCAAATTAACAATTATTGTTAGTTTTAAATTCATTTGCTATGTATATCACTGATCTTATAAAAAATGCTTTTATGAAAAAAAACTAACATTACTATTATTCCTGGAGGATTGATATCTTGCTTACAGCCTTTGGATATTTTAATAAACAAGTTATTTAAAATAAAGGTAAAAGGAATAAAATTAAAATTAAAAAACATTTATTAATATTTTTTTTTTTTTGTATTATAATTATTACTATATAGATGTAACAACAATATACTGAATAAATGATTGATGCTATGAAAGTACTAACACCTACTGGTAAAATTAGAAGACCTTTGTATAAAATTGTAATAAGTTAGATCAAGGCTTCATAGGATGTGATTGATATTAGTTTAATTCAATGATCTTTTAAATGCTGTAGCATCTCCAATAATTGTGATAGATTTGAAGATGATTTAATCTTTAACTACAATCATTTAAACTAGCAAATAAGTTATACTGATAATGAGGTAAAAGTATTAAATAACAAAAATCAAAAAATAATTAATGATCAAGGTATAGTTAATAAAAATCAAGGCACATTTAATGAGGATTAGGCTATGATTAATAAAAGTCAAGAAATGTCTAATAAAAATCAAGAAATGTCTAATGAAAGTTAAGAAATATCTAATGAAAGTTAAGAAACAATCATTGATAAAATGAATATTGAAAAGAAAAATATTGAAGAAGATGATGACAATTATTATAACAAACAAGAAATGAATTATTGTAATATATGAGATAATTAATGATTGGACATAACTAGAAATTAGAAAGTATAGTTGGTTTTTTTTTAAAAAAAAAACTACAGATATAATGAATCTACTAATCAAAAGTATTATTGCTAATAAGGATTAAAGTAAAAATTTAATAATTATATAATTGCAGACACTAATATTATATAGTTTTATTTAAAGTTATATATTTTCATAATTTTTTATAAATTATAATATATCTGGTTTTTATTGTAATATTAAAACAAATATATGTGAATAAAACATTAGCAATTTGATTAATACTAGGGTACTTTTCAAAAATATTAGAATTTATAATTGAATAGTATTCTAGTACTATTTAATGAAAATACTTTTCCAAAGGGATACTATATGCAGCACTGTATGATAATATAAAACCTTTATGCAGACTACTTAAATTAGACAATTACTAAAGTTGCATGAGTGACTAGTTATATACTCTTTTTATAATTGCCTCTGTGTCTGTTATATTAACAAATGCTAACTAATATATACTATCAATAAAATTCTAAATTGCATGTACTATTTTAATATTAAAAATAATAATAATAATAATACTGTTTAACATTACTGTTTCAAAATAATTTAATAAAGTTTAGTATTCTGATTTATTATATACACTATATTAAATTAATTAAAAAATCTTTTTTTGATTATATCTTTTATATATTATATCTAAGAATTCTATTAATTGTAAATAGCATTTTTTAAAGTCATAAACTGCATATTATTTCTTTAGTTTAAAATAGAGATAGGTTTCTTTGTTATACAATATATTTAGATATTTTATAAGTTTAAACCTTGGGTCTTCTAATGAGTATAGTACATTAACTACAGTTAAATAATTAAAAAAATTAAAATTTAGAATTTAAAATTAAAACTATTAATAATTTAAGCTAAAAAGTAACTATTTTTTTAGTGTATAATTTAAATTAAAAAGAACTTTAAACAAAATGTCTACTTAAAAAAAAGAGAATAAGTTAATTATAAAAAATAAAATTATATATTGAACCTTAAAATATTAAAATTTATATTTGTGATTGGCTTATTATTATAGAATATTACTTTAACATTGACCAAAATATTATTCATGTAATGCTTCAAAATTCTTTAGAGTTTATTTATTTTAGGATTAAAGTTAAATTTAAAATTAAAAAATGGCTGGCATATAATAAAATTGTTCAAAAAATTTTTAGAACATAAAAGATAATCTATTAAGTAAATTTTTAAGTTTAAAAGAGATTTTTAAAAATGAACATTTATTTTAAATCTTTCTAATTGTGTTATGTTATTCCAAGACAAGTTGTTATTATATAATTTTATATAATCAATTTACATTACTTTTTTTTGCATTATTTTATCTATATATAACATAAAATCTTATTAAGATATTAATACTTTTTTTTTAAATAAAAAAATATTTCTAAGTTAATTTCAGATTAGTAAGCTAAAAAAAAACTAATTTGTTATTTTTATCTCTTTTCATAATATCTAATTTATTTAAACTTAGTAAAAATATTTTAAACTGTTTTACAAAGATGTAATTCTTTATTAAACATTAATATATTTATAGTTGGATATCATTTTTTCAATGAATCTTCACAAGATATAATGGAATTTAACAGCTATGATAATGAATTCTTTTAGCTTATTAGAACCTAATTTGATTATCTTAATTTGTTTATCAAATACTTCTGAAGTAGAATATTTAACTACATAATGCTTTGCTATTGTACTCATATATGACTTTTACTGTTCTAAT